GGCTAAACAACCCCAGTTCCCTCAGCCGCTCCTCATAAGACTTGTGCTCCAGACCCCTCACCAGCCTCGTTGCCCTTCTCTGGACACGCTCCAGCACCTTGACGTCCTTCTTGTAGTGAGGGGCCCAAAACTGAACACAGTATTCGAGGTGCGGCCTCACCAGTGCCGAGTACAGGGGCACGATATTTATATAATATATATTATATATTTTTATATATATAATATATATTATGTATTTATAATATTTAAGTATTGTCATGAACACTTGACCATGTTTAGTCAAATGAGGACTGAGAAACAGCTGTAGGATTAGATCTGTGTAACTTGGTATTCAGAATAATTCTAGTTTTGAAAGACTTCTTCAAGTACAGAGTTAACTAGAATTGTTCCAGTGCAAATAACTTCACTTGAATTAACCTAAATTGAAGGAGTCTGGAGAAGAAAGAAATGGACACTTATGGTAATATTTGATAGAAGTCTTTTCTGGCGCTGGGGAAGAGGTCAAAGGCACAGCAACATGATGAATTTGCAGAATGTCTGCCTGCCAGCAGAATGCCTATCAGAGGGACTTAACAAAAAAAATACGTACGTAGCATGAGCTGTGGGTAGGAATCTGTGGGTAAATGTGCCCATTTACCGAAGTCTTTTACTCCTTAAATTAACATTCCTTGCAATCTGCCTTGCTTGTTTTAGTAACAGGAGGAGGAACCTGGAATAGGCATAAGGCAATTCCTAAATAAGTGTTAAGAGGGTTGGAGGATGAGCAGCAGGGAGAGAGTATTGGCAGTGAGCAAACCCATCAGGAAATTTTCATAAACTGAGTATAACTGGCAAGACAGAAAAACTTGGGTATTAACTCAAAGAGCCTGGTCAGAAAAGAAACACAAGACAGGAAAGGACCACCTGAGTTATCAAGTGCCTCCCTTGCAGCCCCAGGGAACCTGTGTACCAGACACTTAGTTCACAGGGAAGTATTTACGCCATGCACACCACGGCATCCCAACCTCAGATCCAACTTACAGTATGTCAAAGGAGGGAATATCATTATCTGTATAACAGGAAAGTTTGGTAAGCGAGAATGCTTTGATGTTCCTAGGAATGCAGAACTCTGCCAGTCCAAACCAGAAGAGAAATTCCTTCCTGACCGAACTCTGGCTGTTGGTTTAAAACTGCACACGAGTTAGATATCAAACAGATGCCTGCAATGTTTCTCAGTAACTCGAGGGAATCCAGCCTCCCCCCTAACATCCTGACTTGCTGTAGCCAGTTTCCATAGATTCAGAAGACAGAAAACAATCAGAAAAGCCGCAAAAAGAAAGTCTGAAGTTATGCAAAGAATGTGAGAAAATAATTTCTAGTCCTTTCTGGGGGCCACCAGAAGGCCCAAGATTACTGCAGCGTTGCCACCAGATGAAGCAAAGAAACTTAAGCTGCTGATCCAAGATGTGACACTGGTTAATTGAGGGATAACTGAAATGTGGTAGAATAGCATTTAGAAGCAGGAAGAGCATGACCTATTTAGAAAATTAACTAAAACCAGCACCATGACATACCACAATGTCACAGACTGTAAAAGAATAAGAGGGCATAATGTGGACTTAACAGCGTTGCTTTAGGACAAGGTAATGTTGGGTAAAACCAATGTATCTTGGCCGGTGGGAGTCAACTCTGGTGCTGCCCACACCAGATTTGGTTATTGACAAAAGCATCTGTCAAGTTATTTGGAAGTTACACTTTGGCCTCCTCAACGTAGGCTGGAAAGTAATTGCTACTGAAAATGGTTCACCACATGTATTTCTTCATAAGGGACGTAACAGGTTTCTTCACAATATTGAGTAACCACAACAAACAGCAAGAATATTGGGAGAGACCTGCCTGCAGGAAATAACCTTGACTAAGCCGTTCAAACTCAGTAAACCAAGTAAACTGACTTTGAGTGAATCGATCAGGAGGATAAATCAAAGGATGTTTGCAACAGGAATTCCCTATTTTGAAAGGACAGGCTTTCGAAAGCTCAGTCAGTGAGTAAACTGGCTCAAAGAGCTTGGGGATGTAAATGTTAAGTACGTGTACAATGTGGAGGACATGAGGGCTGAAAGTACGAATGCTACCTGGAAGTCATAGTCACTGCAAGAGAAATCTTAAAGGAGCACCACCCTAGACAGAAAAGGGTCAATAATCACCTCTAGATGAAAAGAAAGGATACTGAAGAACAGAAAAAGACAGTTCTATGTGCATTAGATTACGATAGTTTTCTTTAAGATTTGCATCTTATAACTTGAGTTCACACTCTACTTGAAGCTTTTCCTGTAGATTTATGGTGTGTCACCTCTGTGGATTCCCTGGAATTTAACAACAAATAAACACAAAGTCCAGCTTTTCCAGCAGAGAGGACAAAGCTTTTTCTCTACCTAACAATCTGGTTTTCCTGACTTTTCTCCCACTTGGAAAGTCTTTGGACTTTTCTGCCAACACCTGTCTTTCTCCACTGCTCAGGGATCCTTGATTCACCAGCCATGAACTAGAGGTTGAACATCAGAAAAACTGCTCGGGTTTTCTGTATTTGGGAAGGAGAGCAAGCAGTGAGACACCACAACGCTGGTGCACTGCTGACCCAAACAGTAGCCACTAGCCTTCGCTGCTCAGCTACTGGCATTCACATGCACAAGCCCTCATGTCTTTTCTCCGCAATCAGAGTTCAGCACTTTGCATAAATCTTTGCTAACTGGCTACAGAACACATTTGTATGTTTAACTCATACTTCAATGTGGGAAGAGAAAAATTCTTTCCTGCTCCTCAGTGCAGTTGCTTCTGTAACAGATGAGGCAATTTCACACATCCACTGCTCCATTCTCACTTTTGCCTCTCAGGTTTACCACCAGCATATTCACTGGAAACGAAGCAAAATCGTTCACGTCATTTCTAGGGGATGGATGGCCTAGCATCGCCCCCACGCCTGTGCAGGGGGTCCGCACCGTCATTCACGAGGCGGCAGAGCCCCTCTGCCTTGGTGCACCTTTCCCGCGGCCTGCCTCAGCTGGATGTGCAGCCGCGCTCATTTCACCCTGCAATCGCTAGCAACAATTAATTAGCTCCGCCATCGCACCTCGGGTTACCGACACCGGGTTTGCCGTGGCCCCGTGGGGCTGAAGCGGCACGGCGACACCC